GAGCCACCACACGGCCTCATCACGGTGCCAGGGCACCACATGAGGTCCCACCGTGGTGACGTGTCATCTCCATGCCAGGGCACCCCCAAGGCCCAAGAGCACCTTCTTGTCACCATACCAGGACACCACACAAGGTCCCAGGGCAGCTCCGTGCTGTTGTCACCATACCAGGACATCACGCGAGGTCCCAGGGCGGCAGTGTGCTGTTGTCACTGTACCAGGGCACCGCACAGCGCTGCAGGTCCCCACATCTCCCCACAACTGCAGCTCCGTCCTGCAGAGCGGAGCCCGGCCACGATGGGGTGCGACCAAGCCCTGTGCCCTGTCCCTGCCCTGAGTCACAGGGAGCCCAGCGCCGCTCCGAGCATGTGACGGCCCCGGCCGGTGAGAGGTTTATAGCAGGCGCAGGCAAAGGGGTGGAGGTGGCAGCTGTCTGAAGCAGCCAAGATCTTCAGTCGATATCATTAATTACCGTCTTATGGTGCCAAAGTCTGCGAGGCTCCGTGCGGCACAGGGCAGCGTGACATATTCCCTGCCCCAAGGAGTCCACAATCTAGAGCGGATCTGGCAGCACGAGGGTGTGACAGGACACCACGAGGTTGCAGCAGCAGGATCATGCTGCTGAGGTGTGTATGCTGTGTTGGAACAGGTCTCTGTTTATCCTGTACATACTAAGTATATGCATATATATATGTTACCACGATGCAGTTCTCGTAGGTGTTGCTGCGGAAGAGGAGAAATTGGTTTAAGTGTAGATTTAACAGGCTTGGAGGGGCAGAAGGCATGGGCAGCAGCACGAGGAGCCCATGGAGGTGGTGCCACAGCTTGGTCAATGCCAGCACAAGGGCTGCCTCAAAAGTGGTGAAATGGGGACAAGTGACACACAGAACTGCAAGGGCAGGCACTGCAGGAGCCTGCGCCTGCGTGGTGGTGCACAAGGGTGCAATGCAATAAGAGGACGGGGCAGGATCAGGTCAGCCAGCCAAAGAAAAGTTTTGCAGCTGTGCCCTCTGTGGACTTCAGGAAGACTATTTAGGCATTAGAAAAGTCTGAATACAGATGGTTCTGATTGTGATGAGAGGGCCTAAGGACAAAGACAAGAGACTTACCTATCCAGACAGACTGCAAGGATCAGCGCTTAAAATACTGTGTGAGAAACTGTAAGTCTGGTGAAATAACATAGATATCCAGAAATACATATGGCCTGAAGACTTATGAGCAGAACAGAAATGCATGTTGGCTAAGGGGAAGGGAAGAGTCTACACTGCTATAATTTGGCAGTTGGGCGTTCTGAAAAAGCTAATTAGCTCATGGTCTGATCACAGACTACTAAGAGAAAAAGTGAAACGTTTTTACTAAAACAAGGCATAGTTTTTGCAGAACTATAGGTCGGTGTGCATGAAAGGAAGTACGTGCTTTTAGAATCCTTAGGCTTTGGAGATACACTCAAATATGTGGTAAGGTGACGGATTTCATTTTATTGAGCTTGGAGGAAAAAAGAAGGAGAAATTGTTTATTTTATATATATATATATATATTTTTAAAGATACTCCTCTGTGATATATTTCTCATGCTTTGAAAGGCGTATTTTTCCCCCACTAAGTTCCTGGCTTTCTTTGCAAGCTTCCAAGAGAAGGATATTTTCTGACATCTGTTAATCATTTCTCCTTGATTCATTAGGACTTAACTTACTCCAGGACTGCAGATGGGAGTAAGTGGCAGCTCGAGACCTCTGGGATGGCAGGATGGATCTGACAACGGAAGGTATAACAGAATGCCACAGGACTGGAGCAACAGAAGCCCAGGATCCAGTGCTCAGAGAAAGGTAAAAATGTTCTTACTAGAATATCTGGCAATCTGAACACACAGAATGACTTTCAAATTTAGCACTCTTACAGAACAGAGACTAGCGTGCGCTCATAAGCAAAAGCTTTATTATAATTTAAGTGCTAAATGATAGTAACATTGAAGATTGAGAGAAATGCCAGCCCTCATCTCATGTTTTTTTTTTTTGTGGGATTGCAAATGCAGGCAGAAGCAGAGTTAAGAAAGAATGTTCCATTTCTTCTGTCCAGACTGCTGTCTCTGGCATTCGCTGTTGCTGAGGGCAAAAACAGCATGGATTTTGAAGGGGATTAGACAGACTGGCTAGTTGGAATGCCAGTCCTGGGCACTGGCCTAACAATGGAGGATTTAAGGGAACTCAAAACCTCTGGAGTAGTGCTTCCCAGCTGGCAAGACTAGGCTTGTGCCACAGGTGAAAGGCAGGGCTGGAGATGGCAGCTCTGCTCCCTCCCTGCTGGCAGGGCACCTCACTGGGTGAGAAAACCTCGATGGCAGGAATGAATGGACCTGCTTCCTGCATCCCCTCCATAGCAGCCAAGTGTCTGGGTTTGCTTTTCTTTATCAGGTTTCCTCTCTGAACTCACCCACTGCAAAGAAGGAGAAGCACCTAAGAGGGGAAGGCAGGCAATGGCAGCAAGTTGTCCTGCAGCAGCCCTTGTTGCCTTTTCATCAGGCATGTTTTTACTCCTCTCCCAAGGCCCCAGCTCCCTCATGCTGTTAGACTGTTCATTGCCCTGACCTGCCTCCTTCCCAGGTGCTACCCCAGTGTCCACAGGGATCATTGCCCATTCCAGTCTCAGCAGGACAAGGCCATGAGATTTGCTCTGAGAAGATGAGGAAGCACTGCTCCAGTGTATGGCTTGCTGCAAAATGGAGGAAGGTGAAAGAGTTGTAAACCTGTCTCCTTCTTGAATTAGCTACTTGGAAGGAGGCCTTATGGATCACATAAAGCTTTTACCTAAAAAGTTCACAATGTGAGTAATCATAGAATCATTATGGTTGGAAAAGACTTTCAAGATCATCGAGTCCAACTGTAATGCCCATAGGCATGCTTGATTAGGTCAAAATTCTTGAGAAGAAATGTTAAGTCATTGAAATATTAAGTCATCATACGAAGACGAGTGATTATCAAGCCCAGCAGTCACTGGAAATAAGGAAAGAAATTAAAAGAAAAGAAAAAAGAAAGAAAAATAAGAGTGAAATGAAGGGAGAGGGCTCAGTTTACAACAGCCGGATGATCCAGTATCAGCCATACACACTTGAAGTGCTTGCTAAGGAAGACAACTCTAATCTCCATCCGTTGGGAAATCTCTTGGGCATTCCTGCCAGAGGCTGCTTAAGGGAGTACAATGAAAAATGAGCAGGTATTTTGTTCCATGTTAGTAGCTCTCAGGCAATTTTAGCCTTTGCATCTTACCTCTAGGCAGACTTTCTTTTGTAAAGGTCATACAGTACTGGAGAGAATTTACCCTGGAAGTTCCCTTTCCTTTAGTTTAAAAAAAAAAAAAAAAAAAAAAAAAGTTCAGCTTAATCTCAGAGAGGAAGTTTTAAAGTCTAGAAGTAGAGAAGAGAGGAAAGAAAACAAAACGTCATCAAAGAGGATCTGTGGGGAAAACAGAGTTCCCAGAGCATCAGATCCTTGTTACTGCAACTGGCAAATTACGTTTGTGTTCATTTTAAGCAGGGAGATTTTTTCTTTTGAGCTATCAAGGCAAATCTATTCCTAAAGTATCCGGCTTAATGGATTTCATCAGCACTGAATGTGAGCTCCTGGGCTAATGTGGGAAAGCGTAGGGAAGGCAGCGTAAGGGAATTATATTGGAATACACTTTAGGTGTGATGAATGTTAATGGCAAGTGTCACTTCCTAAGTTCAGAACAAAGTCCTATGACTCCTGATATAACTTTGTACTGTCCTGCAGCAGAAGGGTTTCAGCCAGCTGGTTTAAAGGTTGAAGTTGAAAGAGAATCACTGCTCCTGTTCTTTCTTTCTTACTCCCAGAGCTGAAAATGAATTTGTACAGTGTAACTTAGCTGTTCTAGCACAAACTACTAAATGACTCATGTAAAATTCCTGAAGGAATGTCCATAGTGGGGAGTCAGGAAAACAACAGGAAAAGCTGTTCATAATTGTTGTAAACATGAATTAAATAGAAAATAAATAAAGCGGATCACAAGAAGGAAAGGCATCAAAGCCTGTGAAATGGTAATGTTTTCTGTCATGGCTAGGACAAAGAGATTATTGCTGCTCAAAAATGTGGTTTAAATGTATTTCTGAAGGCAAAACAGTAGCATGAGAAGCAAGTTTCTTCACTGCTTAGAAGGATTCTAGCATATAAGGAGAAAGAGTGTGCTAAAAATAAGATAGAGGAATGCAGGAAAGAAATTAGCAAAGCTTCCTATCCTATTAAGAATCAGGGAAGTAACCCTGACAACTTTCTTATTAAAACTGCAAGGAGGCTGATTAGCAGAGTGCCAGTCATGCTGGGCATAACTGAGCAATTGGATTTGTACTTTATTTCAGGTCTGTCAGAGGGATGGAATGGAGGAGGGGTGTCTATCTGCCCGAAAAGCTGATATCAGCAATAACTGCCCATATTTGAGCTAATCAGCCCAGTTTCCCTTTACAGACATTTCTAGTGCATGACTCATTTCATGCTATGGTGGTCATGAAGACTTTTTCTCATCTTCCAGGAGGAAGGCTAATCAAACAGATTAGCCAAGATAGAGATTGTCCTGCCATGGATGGAGAGATGCAGTGGGTGGTCCCTAGAGTCCTTTTATGGCTCTCTAAATGCGTATATGCATTAATTATGTGAAGGACATTCCAACCCTGACTTGTCATTACTTTCTCATAGTTAAAACTTTCCCATCAGAATCAAAGACGTCCAAAATCACTTTTCTGCCCCCCAATACTGTATCCAAAAATCAGACTTCGATAGTCACAGAAGTAGAGGACCATACTCCTGTAACACAGTCCTTTAGAAAAGAGTTTCTTCAATTTTCTCTGGAGCACATTTCTAAAACACTAGAACTAATGGAAAACAAATTTTCTGTGCACAAATCAAAAGCAGAAAATATTCTGCATTTGTGAAAAGCCTTCAAAGGGCTTTCTTTGCAGTAAAAAATTGTCCTTAGTCATGCAAAAGTTGATTTTTATGCAGTCTTTTTCTCCAGTATCATAATTCTCAACAAGCTAAACATTTTTATGAAAATTTACATTTTGTCAGAAAAACTTTTTAAATCTAAAAGAAAAATGATGTTTTTCAGATCTACAGATTATTAAGACAGAGAAATAGACAATATTTTCCGTATCTGAAACACAGCATAATTGATAAAATAATGTTATAAATATATCTGCAAGTGCAACATCTGTGTTTATCTTTCAACCAAGCAAAATTACATAAACATAGATTCTGCTTTTTATGAAATCTATGAGTAATTCCTCCTCTGCACTTTCAGTGCTTGTGCATTCACTGATAGAAAAGACTAGGCTTGACAGCCATGCACGACTCACATGTTTTCCATGCAGACAGGGTGCAGCATGAATAGTGATTTTGCAAGTTTTCACGTACATTGTGTCATTTGTGCACCTGATGTCTATCAGCACTGCCTGAATAAGCCTCCCAAGAGCAATAAGACCCCCAGGAGCAATAATGTATCTAAATTTCCATGGCCATCTGTACATGTGGTTTTTGTTAAGACTGTTTCCCTAAAGATGCCGTTTGTAGGTTTCAGTATTGACAGCTGATCACATGGAAATTTGCATCCTGCAGTAATGAGCTCAGTCTGAGGAGCAGACAGATGAAGTTTAAATTAGGTTGAGGCCATTTGGTACCAGTTTATATAGAATAAAAGTTGTCTAGTTTCTTCCAGTAACGTCAAGATGGGAAAGGTCAAACTTTATTACCAATTATTCATAAGAGTCACCGATCGCAGTAAGTCTCAACATGGTACCAGATAGGCAGCAACTTCACCACTTCTGCAAAGTGCCTAAGATGCAAGACCAAGCCTTGGAAAGCCTGCCAATTTAGATGTGTTTTTGTCAAGCCTCATAAATACACTACAATATGGGCATGAATAATCCAAATTCTGCCAGGCGGGAACATGTAACTGTTACATAAAATGAATCTTGAGTGACATCTCCAACAATTACAGAACTAGGAAGCAAATATAAAATTAGGGCCCATCCTGTGAAGCTAGTAGGAGTTTATGGCCAAAAGAAAAGCATATTTAGTTTCCTTTCACTGCTTGGACTAGAGATTTTTTTAAATAAGCAATAAACAAGAATGAATTGTTGCTATTGAATCTGAAGGACCAGAGCTATTTTTTTTTCCTTTTCTTTTGTTTTGAAACAAATTTGCAATATCATTTAGCTTTATCATGGTATTAGGCTGAAATCCAACCCCAGAGCAACAAAACTTCAACCTGTTTCCTAGGTAAATATTGCCACATGACCTGACAGTTTCATTCTAGAGAGCCTAAAATGATCGTGTAGATGCTATGTGTCCAGTAAAGACAGGCTCCCTTAAACCTGAATTAGTTGAGAGAATGCAAGATGAGGGCTGAAAACCCTTGCCTCTTTTCCAAGTGCTTTAAAAAGTAGTGGTTTAAAAATTATTTTATTTGCAAAAAGAAAGGAATGGGAGAAAGAAGTGTTATCTGGGGGGAAAATGGGTTGAAAATTTGAAGGACTTACATCAAGACAATTGCATCAGGAATTTGCTAAACTGAAAACCTAAAAGAAAGAAGTCCTCTGTTACTAGCAGAACAAGCAAATGCTATCCATAGTGTTCAGTTGCTGTCTTCATCCTATCAATGAGCCTCAGAATAACAGAATAATTTAATGTTTTTACATGCAGCAGAAGTGGTAAAACCTCCTCCCATTATGACTTTATCTGTTAAACCACAAAGAAAGGGTGGGAAAAGAAAACCCACTGTTTTAGAGTAAGGTTTTGGGGTCTGAGGAAAAGCATGGAAATTCGAAGATAAGGCTGATAGTCTCTGCCCTATCTCCACCGGTTTTGCACACTGTTGTCACACGTTTTAATATGAGAATTCTTCACTTTTATATAGCTTCTGCTGTGGAATGTACTTTGAAACAGGCTTATTTTCCTAACAACTTTTGCAAGAGAGGGAAAGGATCCTAGTACAGAGCCACATAGTCTCAGGTAGTATTTGGTACTCGTTTAGTGGAGTGGGATTTTTTTTTTTCTGTATGGACATGAGTTTGGATGACAAGCGAAACCAGCGGCTGGTGCAAAGAAACCGTGGTCCTCTTAGTTCATGATCCAAGTGAGTTATGTTGTCCAGAGCAGGGTTTGCTTCCTCATTGCCCACATTATTGTGCAGACGCAACGAGCTGTGTTGTGAGGTGCAAGTGGATGCTGAAAAGAGAGCCCTTGATGTGATGCAACTGTGGTTTATGGTAGGTGGTTTATGGTACGTTTATGTCATCAGTTCCTTAAGAGACAGCATTGCCCTCTGGCTTGCTTCCTAAAGCACCACTTGCTAAAGGAATTTGGGGAAGCTGCAGCTCATCAGCTGTGTAATATCATAAGTCAGATCACGCCGAGTGTCTCATGATAGCCTTGAAGACATAAGAAATGGGCTGAACTTAGTACAGAAATGGACTGAGACAACAGTCGACATATTAAAAGAAAAAGTCTCAAACAGGACACAGGAAAAAATGGTCTGACTTTCACAAGACCTTCCAGAAAGAAAAGATACTGATGGCTTGGACATTAAGGAAAATACCCTTGGAAAAGTAAACACCTTCTGGAGGTACTCTTATAAAAATGTATA